GGTCCAGCCAGGTGATGCGGCGGTGTGCAGCCAACACTGAAATTAATAGTTAATGGAGTGTTGTAGTGTGGGTAAGTGTGTTGTAACGCGAAGTGTTTGAAGGAGACGGGTGGAAAACAGCAGACAGGTGGGGAGTAAAAGGCAGAATTGGCGCCAAGAGATAGGAGGAGCTGTGTTCATGTGTGTGGACACGTTTTTGCTACATCGTGGGGACCATTCATCAGAAAAAGAACACAGCCTTATGGTGACCCAATGTTAGCTTTAGGATAAAGGGTCAGGGTCGGGCATTAGAATGAATGGAAGTCAATGCAATGTCTCCACAGGGATAGAAAAAACAACTTGTGTGTGTGTGTGCACGCTTTTGTTATCTGGTGGGGACCATTTTTGACCATTTTCCCAGTACTCACACAGCAAAGGGACCCACTTTTCCTTATTGGGACAAAAAGCCTGGTTCCCATTGGGGGAAAGACCACTGGTGGGTCAGGGGTTAGGGTTRGGACTAAGGTGTGAATTGAGTTTAGGTTAGGAATAGGGTTTGGGTTAGGTTTGGGGTAAGGGGTCTGGATTAGACTATTGAAATATTTGATAAATGAACGGAAGTCAATTCAAAGTCCCTGTGATGGCCAAACCAACGTGTCTGTGTGCTCACATGTTTTGCGTCTTTGTGTGGACATGTTGTCCGCCATTAAATCATTAGAGGACAACTGCCCTTGTGTGGACGTTTTGCCTGGTCCACACAATGGGAAAACACAATTTGTGGGTCAAAGGTTAAGTTTAGGTTTAAGCTATGAAGTAATTTTGGCTCAGGGTTAGGCATGCACCTGTCAGGTTAGGTTTAGGGTTAGGCTGTAGAAAAGAATCAAAATCAAGTCCTCACACAAATAGTGAAACAAGTGTGTGTGTGTGTGTGTGTGTGTTTGACTGAATGAATGGTGAAGGCACCACCTCTGCAGCCACATGTTCCCCCTGCTGACTGAGGATTGAATCCTCCCAGAACAATCTGCGCGTCCTACCCAGCTTCCCCACCGTCTCAATTAAAAGAGACGGAATCGGGGAGAGAAAGATGGCGTCCCTGCGGGGCCTCCACCTGCTGCTCCTGGTATTGTCTCATACTTTCATTCCTCCTTCAATAATGTCTCACTCTCATGCTGTGTGTCTGTGCGTCCTGATGCATTTAAGGATGGATTTCTTTTTTTATTTATTATTTATTTCTTTGCTTTCATCCCCTACCTCTGTGTGTGTATGTGTGTGTGTGTGTGTGTTTGCAGGGTGGTAGTGATTATGCTGAAGTGGCTGGAGCCAAGCAGTGGCGCTGTGTGTCTAATTACAGTGGAACAGAACCCATTGATCAGCTATTGCAGTCCAATCTGTTTACTACAGATGTCTAACCTGCACACTCGCACATCCATCATCTTCATATTCCAAATCAACACTGGTGCTGTGTGTGTGTGTGTGTGTGTGTGTGTGTGTGTGTGTGTGT